CGCTAGTCCACGAAATGGCCCTCCAGAAGAGCCAAATCATCCGTAAAAGAGGTAAATTCATTTTCTTTCCTTTGGTTTGTTTTTCGTCGATCTTGTTTTCCATGCTGAGCACCAATGCTACCGACGCCAGGGAGGCAGCTCCCACACCTGGACCCTACCTATCAACCCATCAACTCATGAACCGGGGACCAACGGCTTTACTTCCCTTCCGAAGGAAGGCGTGATCAGAGATGTTGGCCCTTATTACCGATGTCACTTCACTGTGAAGTGACAACTTATCACTCACGGTGAAGTGATTCCCATTTGATTTACACGGCAATCACTTCACCGTGAGTGACAACTGGTCACTTCACTTCGTTTTCACCGTGAACTGACACCCGTAATAAGGGCCTATGCCTCAGAACATTCCGACGGCGCTTACTGGGATTGAACCCCAGGCCTACTGGGGTGAGAGGTAATCACGCTTACCACTATACGCTTGAAAATGAGAGGAATGTTTTACCACAGACAAACAGACATAACACATTGAATATTTCTCATTGTAAAACATTGTCGCTAAAACATTACCGCCATCTGTTGAGTACACTGTGGTGGGTAGTATCAACAATCAATACGAAACTAACGATTTTAAATTGGCTCACTACTTGACTAGCCTATTGGTCCCAAGCAAACGATTAACGTACCCCATTCTAGTCGAAATTCTAGTACTACACAATGTTTGTTTTGATTCGCTATGAAAGTTTGACAGATAAAATGAGGGGTTATTGGTTTTTCCCGAGGGGGACGAAACTCCTAGATTTATTCAAGTTTTATGAAAAGATAATCTTTATTTTGGTGAATCTCTTCATATCTGAATGAATCCACTTTATCCGATATAATCTCCAAAATTAATAGTATCGTTTTTTATCGATCACATCTCTATAATAGCGGGTCACATCTCTTACTACCTCATGACAGATTACGGTATTTGAGGACGCTGTGAAGGAGCGTCTCGGCGCGGTCCAATGCGATGTAAACATTACCGTTTTGTCGTCTCTTTCATTCTCCCGCTGTTTGATTGATTGATGGAGTAATGGAAAAACAAACACATTGCCTCCCCTGCATGTTTACATCACATTAAGTGGTCGTATGGGGGAAGAAACCAAAAGATCTTTCGGTTTCCATAGTGGCTGTACAATTAAAAAAGGGAGCAAAACAATGGAAAACGAAAAGATGAGGACGATGATGCCACGGTTTGGAGGTGTTCCAAGTCGAAGGCGGAATTGGTTGCGAAGGCAAACAAATTTCTGGTGATGGCTGGACTTCGGAAGTATTCGGTGAGATCCTATGAAAGAAATTCGTTGGTTGGGAGCTTCATACGAAGAGCTTCGGAGTGTGCTTCTGCTGTAGATGGTTGGTGGAATGTGGCATTTGGGTGGGTTATGTTATTTCCGCAGAACTTTTTGAAAATATCAAAAAGCAGCTGCTGCAGGCTAGCTATAAGTATAGTCGCTATATTACAAATTGGAAACCATTTGGCTGTTAAATAGCGAGCAAATCACGACCAAAAACAGAAAAGAGCACATCAGCTATTGCGAACAAAACTTCGGAAACCGTTTTCTCGTGATTCAAGGCTCGCCTATGCAAATTTACACCATCTTTGGGTTGGGGAAAGATTCCTCTATCCGATGATGCCGGTAATTTGCGTTCGATCGTCGAGGAAAGAATAATCAACGTTTTGTTTATAAAAGTTGATAGGGCATTTTTCAATTCATGGTCTACAATATATTGAATTGGTTCCGTTTTTTATAGATCAAAATTCTATCCGCCAGACCGTGATACACTCTAAACATTCAGACTTATTCAATATTTTCGATAAATAGCGGATGAAATCGGATGATATCGGCAAGCGCGTGTTATTATTCTTTACTAATCGAAAAAATCCACAAAAATCGACTTTATGATGCAAATTTTATTGAAATCCGTTAAAAGAAATGTTGAATGGATTACTTTCGTCCCCCTCGGTTTTTCCTATGTTTCGAGGGGTGAATCGATTAGCTTGGGACCGAAGAGAGTACCAGGGCTGAGCTAAAAAGTTGAGCACGTTTCTTCGGGACCTTCTAGTCTTAGAGTTACCTCTATGGCTCTACCTCTCACTGCGTGACAAAAAGTTTTTTCAGCGATTGTCGGTTGATGTGTTGACGAGTGTCGAGTGAGTGTCATGATATTTTGCATCACTGGCTCAGATAGATCTATCGTTAATGCAATATCTCGACATTCAACAAGTAGGAAGGAGAAATTATCAAAATTCGTCAAGTCTAAGGGTATCTCGGTCAAGCGAATCGACCTAACGAAGAACCGGAAGTATGCCAAGATCGAAATCAACGGCTCAACCAAAGATGAATACTAAGATGAAACAGTCGGAAGAAAAACTTTCTATTTTAGTGTCCTCTTTCACGGTCTTTTTCATTCAATGAATACCCCCCGTATGCAAGGTAATTTTGGTGTTTTGCTGCCCCCTCGGTAGACATGAAATTTTGCGCTCTTTTTTATCAAAACAATCACACCAAAATCAGAGATGTCCCATTTTTTAAATTATTCGATTAACATCTAATCGAATATTTTTTGTTCGCTGTGCTGTCATTTTTCCACCAATGAGAGTGCAGCATATGTTTGAAACGATGGGTGATGATCCTCTGGTGAGGTTAATGCTTATATCAGCATGAATATAACCGATTACAAATATTTTAATTTTCGGTTCGTTAATCGATTAATCGATTATTCGAATGAAAATCGGCCATCACTGGATGAATGTGAAACGTCATTTCAAATTTTAGGTCGTACATAAATAATGATACAATTTGAAAGGGACCGGGGCTAATCACAAATTATGTCCCCATGGTAACTGAAATAAACACGAGTGCGAACCGGCTGGCTCAACAGCGACATTGCAGCTCGATTGTGCTTCAGACATCACCATTATTTCCAAGCAGACTTGGATTGCCGTGGGTCATCGCAGTGAGTGCATCAGGTGACAGCATCGACATCAGGTGACAGCATTGACATCCGGCTATCTCCGAGATGCCACCACCGATGAATGTATCGCAACTACGTTCGTACCTTGGTGTGATCAACTATTACGGACGATTCGTTGGCCAGATGAAGGAACTTCGAGCGACGCTTGACTGTCTACTAAAGAAGGATGCTCCTTGGAAATGGACCGCGGACTGCCAAAAGTCGTTTGACCGTTTCAAAACTATCCTGGTCTCCGATCTCCTGCTGACTCATTTCGACCCCAACAAGGAAATCATCGTCGCTGGAGTCGCTTCCAAGAATGGTTTGGGCGCTGTAATCCTACATCGCTTCTCCAACGGCTCCGTTAAAGCCGTAGAGAGCCTCCAGGTCACCCAAGACTGCGTCATGTTCGCTGACAGAGTTGTAGTTTCAGAACGATTCCGCAAGCGCATCATCCAACAACTCCACCGTGGACACCCCGGAATAGACCGAATGAAGTCACTCGCAAGAAGTTTTGTTCACTGGCCCAACATCGACGACGATGTTGAAACGTTTGTGCGCCAGTGTCGCCCCTGTGCTGTTGCAGGAAAATCGCCCCGTAAGAATCGTGGCCGATACCAACGAAACCGTGGTAGAAGATCCACATCAACTACGCAGATCCAGTTGATGGTTATCACTACCTCGTCGAGGTCGACGCCTATTCGAAGTGGCCGAAAATCTTCAGGTCCCGCAGTACAACTACTACAACGACATTGGAAATTCTGCATAACATTGCAACCCACACACCCTCGTTTCGGACAACGGTACCCAGTTTGTAAGTGCTCGATTCAAGCAATTTTGTGAAGAAAATGGGCAAGCTGAACGCTTTGTCGACACCCTTAAGAGAGGACTGAAGAAACTCACCGAAGGGGAAACCATGGTAACATTCCAGAATCTCCAGACGTTCCTCTCATTTTTCCGGTCAACTCCAAATAAAAGCGCTCCGGATTGTAAGACACCTGCCCATCTATTTTTAGGAAGACCAATACGAACAACGCTGGACCTATTGAAGCCCTGTGTTCAGAGTCCAACCTTGGAGAACAAGAAGCAGAAGGCTGAATTCAACAGACGGCATGGCGCAGTGAAGAAATCATTCGATCCGGATGATTTGGTCTACGCTCAGGTCCATCGTCGCAACACAATCGATTGGATTCCAGGACAGGTAATCGAGCGCAAGGGCAAAGTGAACTACACTGTTTTGCTCGAACATGGACGCTTGGACATGGACACACCAACCAGCTAAAACAACGATATCCGGTTGAAAATGATGCCGATCAATCTCCAAATCCACGCAATCAACTTCCCTTGACCTTGCTAGTTGACGAGTTCCACCTACAAGCTCCGAAACCGTTGGTCCCAGCAGTGCTGATACTTATCCAGGCCTCTTCTACAACGGGAGTCCAACAATGAGTGGTTGTCCCGTTTCCTGCTGTTTTTGCAAGCCTTCCGGACTGGTGAGCTAAGATCCTTCAAGTTTCCTATTTCCGTTGCTTCCAGTTTTGTCAGGTGCTCGTTTATTTGTTTTTTGTTGTAAATCCATCGTCGTTCTGAGTCGTTGATCCTAGGCTTGACTGATAATTTTCGCAATTAAAATTCAATTCGACAGTGAGCATGCATAAGGGCGAATATGCGATGATCGATTCTCTTCATCGATTTTCTCTTTGCATTGCTACAGCTAACCGAAACAATTTTCTAGAATTTGTTCAATGCAGAGTAGTAACAGGTTGTCTTGGCTATCAAAAGTAACAGCAAACGCACCGAGAAACGTTAAATCTAGCGAGTTATTAACAAAAGAGATAATCGACGAAGAGAATCGATCATCGCGTGTAGGCCCTTATGCATGCTCACTGTCGAATAACCCGGTGAACCGTCAAGATCCGATCTGCGGAAGCACTGAATTTAGAAAAGACCTCCCACTCACATACGGCCAGTTCGAAGCGGTTTTTGTAATGAAAGTCACGAGGCTTGTTCTTGGAGGGAATATCTGTCTCTTCTCTATTTTTTTTTATTATTTATTGTTGATTGGTTGAGCTCACAACCAAGTTTACTACAATGAATGCCGGCAATTGGGAATGATTGATGAAAGAAAGAGGAAGTTGACAGAAGAAGAAAAGTTGAAGTTACTTACTCAGAGTAGTGCCTACTATGCGATACAACGACGACGACGACGACGACGACGACGATTGAATGCATGGATGAACAAACACGAACAGGAAACAGACTCCGGATGGTAACTAAGGGGCGGTGGAGGGTCAGGGCAGCTTAAATTGACTTGATGCTTAATCTAATTCAATTCACTACTGCAGCAGCAGTCTCCATCAATTCGCTAGGTTCTCGGCGTCTTCGTCCAGTTTTTGCTTCCTGCTGCGTCAGCTGATTGCATCGACGAGATTGCCTTCTGATTGGGCTGAGTTCACTGGATCTTGGCCGGGATCACGACGCAAATGACGTCCTTATCGTCGAATTTCAGTTCCCATTTCACTTCCACTGCCACCTGTTGAAAAGGAGGGAAGATGCTTAGTTGGAAATTGGTGATTCGGATTTTTTTTAAGTGGATTGACCACATACCTTCGGGTACTGCTTCAATACTGGCAACGTGGTGCTGTACTTGTATTCGGTATCCTTAGCCAAGGGGCACTCCAGACCACTGTCTTTGCAGCCATCGTTGTTGGGCAGCTTGAAGGGGACTTCCATGCCAAGGATGATTCCATGGACGACTGCTTTCAGCTCGGTGACTTCCTCATCTAGAGAGAGGAGAATATTCAATGATAATTTTACAGTTACAGGTGTTCTTCACTTTAAAGAAAAACAAAGTTCTGTCAATCAAAGCAAACGTTAAATATTGATTATTGGAAACTGTATAGAAATCGCAATGCTGGACACAATTCGCAAATGAACGTATTTCCCACCGAACAGCCAACCACAACCTTACCGCATTATATAGAGGGGAAAAACGAAGCAAAAGTACAAAACGGACGTAGAAGCTTAGCAGATTATCAGTGTAGTGTTCTAGGGGTTCTTTTTCATATTTACGACAACATACTACCTAGATAGTAGGTAAGAAGCTAAATATCTAACAAGTTAGTGATCGCGCTTCCCCATTTAGAATCAAGTCTAGCATTTAAAGGTCGCGAAGCAGGTCAATCATAAACTGCGTAACGGTTGGTGTTTTTTTTCTTCGAATTTGTGCCTAACCATTTGATAATGCTTGACAAAAAATGGTGTGATAATATGTATTAGCAAGATTTTGCGTGTCATAGTTCAAGGATGATCCCTATTACAACTATCACATATGCTACTGCGAATGTTGAAATAATAATAGCATATCAGTCGGAAGCGTAATTGCAAAAAATAAAAGCATGACGTCCAAACATAGAATCCATGAAAGCACATAGCTTATTCTAAAACGTAAATTTGTTAGAAGAGATCAGATCGAATCACGCGCAATTGGAGTTATCATTCCGGAAAACGCAAATGTAAAATGATTCATTGACAAAGCGAACCGACTGGAGCAGAAAATGAACTCATTTTGAGTTAACGATGATACCCCGTTCAGAGCGAGTGCGCATAGTGTACTATATCATCATCGGTCGGATTAATCATAGGGCTTGACCGTGGCACAACGAACGTGAATTGGTAATTATTCCATTAAGATCAATCCCCACATTGTACACAGTGTCACTTTTGCTGGCAGATCGCAGTAGCTGATGAGTGAAAGTGCGGTAAATATCGTTGTTTACGTCGCGCGGCAATCTTGATGACAGTTTTAGATTTTTCTTAATTGTGGGTGGCTTGGATCCGATGTCAAAGGGAGACATTGAATGCAATTTAACTGAAGGGTTAGGTACTTACCACTGGTGAACGTAATCGAGATGGTGGCGTTGCTGTTTCGCTTCAGAATGCATGTTGGCTGCGCCAAGTCACAGTTGGACACTTCCACCAGGGTGAAGTTTCCGATTGTGTCCGAGTTGCCTGGAATGATGACGGAGAGGAACGGTATCAGTTAAAATTGAAGATCGTCACCAATATTCTGAACACAAAATATAAATTTAAATTTTTCTTATGAAACATACCACAATTCTCAAACTCCACTCCTCGTACGCCGAGGCAGCTGCTGGTCAATGCCAAAGCCAAAAGAAGGCCAACCGTGGAAGCTGATAGCGTTTTGTACATGATTTAGGCTGTCTGTTATTGTCTTCCTTATCACTCAGAACTTAAATCTTTCTCTACAGAATCACTTTGGCGACCGTTTCACTGCTATGACCACTCGGTTCGGCTGTCGGCTAGGAACTGTCGTCACCGTCGGTGTTCTGATGAGCGTTGTGAGCATTGTTCTGAGTCAACCACACCGACAAACAGTATGCCATGTGCGTTTGGATTCGTGTTGTGTTGTGATCTGATTATAATCGAGTTTTGCATTACTGGACAATACTCGTCGACTGCAGAGCAGAATGGGTATGGAGAACAATGAATGGGACTGTACTAACCTACGAAGCTCGTCGGTGGTCGGATTAAATTTACACAAACGAAATTTGAACTTGCGATAAGCCGTGTACGTAGATGGGCTGTTTGTGACAGTGGGGTGAGTGTGCCATTGGCTGGATATTTGCGTTCATGTTGATTTTATTTATGCTCGCTGGTATTTGTTATACTGAAGGTAGAGACATCAATAGGATGATGCTGTAAGAAGAACCATTGTGGCCTTGAAAATCAGCTAAACCCGCGCGATATGAAAATCTCAATTCTAAATGCTCAACAAATCTCACACTAGCGAATCATTCTTCGAAAAATCTTCTTTGATTTCTCGCAACTACTTGCATTGCTCATAATCTTTTTGCAGGAAATCTTCAGAATCGTCATCAATCTTCTTTCTATCTACTCAGCGTGAGCGCAGCTAACCGCAACAAAACACAATTTTTCCTGCATCGTAGATAGAGTCGTTCCCCTCGTCAAAAAGATAAGTGGCCCTTCTCGAGCGCAGCAGAAAAATACTGATCTAACACAAATCGTTTAATAGCTTCGATGAATCATGAATAGTTTTGCTACAAAATTAAAATAACTTATCTTTTGTTAGAGCCTTTTTGAATATATGATTTACACGTTTTTTTTTTAAATATCTTGACACTTTTGGTACTGCAACAGGCATTCGAATCTCGATTCGTGTAGAGCTCACCCGAGGAATCGAATTAATTCTAGGTAAATATAGCCAATCATGTATTAAAGGGTGGTCACTCTTAACATTTTGCGCCAACTTTTTTCTCAATGTGCCTCAGTGTGCCGCAGCTGTGCTGGCAGTACCGAGAAGTCATTGAACTGACTTTTGCTTGCCTGTGAATAATACCTTGTTCAATCATTAGTCAACCATGGTCTTAAGCCAGCCCTTCTGGGAGCCAGCGGAGAAAACGGATTTGTACAGAATTTTTCACCGCCCGAGTATCATCCGTTCGAAAACAGTCGAACGCAGCATCCAGCACTTGAACAACATTCCAATCGGAAATGATGGTAGCAAAATTCAGATAGCATTTTCCACACAGAACTACTCGTCAGAGTCCGTCTCCTCTAAAATTCGTCAAAAGAATGTTGCAAGGCAAAGACAAAGAGTTTCTCATCAGCAAACACGAACTCCTGACCTGAGTGCCGCGTATCAGTTTGGCTCTATTCATCCTCTTCTTCGTTGTAGCCTCCGTTACCCCGTGAACATTGCATTCCTTGTACGGCTTGTATCCCAGGTCCTTCGTCATGATGGTGAGGGCAGTCCCGATCGACACATCCAGGTCAGCAGCGGTCTTCCGGATCGAGCGGTTCATTTTTCGACAAACCCGCTCCCCCACCACCTTGATGCCGCCCGGATCTCGAACGGTCCTTGGCCGAGTCCGTCTCCTGGTACCGACGTATGGTGGTATAGATGAAATTCCGCTTCACCCCGTGGGATTTCAACTGCCGGAATATGTCGCCGGGTCGCTCACCTCTCGCAAACAACTTTACTACGACGTCGCGGTACTCCTTCATCGTGCGCGGTAAACATACAACAAATGACAGCAAGTCGACACCGTGCGCGTCGGTTAGCCTGTATATCGGTGATGGTATCGGGGGCTTCCGGCCTGCAACCTCAGGCGAGTATGATTGCGATTCCGAGCTTTCGGTACCAGATGTCCTTTCGATTTCCAGCTCCCGTGATTGCTCCTCGAATGGTCTCAGGATCTACTACCAAAACGTGCGTGGGCTGAGAACTAAAATCGACTCATTTTTCCTGGCTGTTGGAGAGGCCGAATATGATTTGATTGTGCTGACGGAAACGGGGCTGGACGACCGAATTTACTCATCGCAACTTTTCGGGTCACTCTATTCCGTCTTCAGAGCTGACCGGTCTCCCCTAAACAGTCAAAAATCGCGCGTTGAGGGAGTCCTGATTGCAGTATCAACGAGACTAGCCAGCTACGTTAGTACGTCACCCATTGCCGGTTGCTTGCTGTGCTCTTTTGAACGGTTTTAACTTTTGCGGGTTCACACAAGCGAATACTTTTCCGAACCGAAATAGACGTTTGCTAGATCTTGTCCTGGCAAATAATTCCGCATTACTGGACACTTCTGTTTCCTTGCCGGTCGAGCCACTGATTGATCTAGATGCCGATCATCCCGCTCTCGTCGGGTCATTTAGTTTACCTTCGCCGATTGTTTTTACGCCGTCATCTGAGTGCTACTCTTTGGACTTTCGCCGGGCTGATTATGTTGCATTGAACAATGCGCTTGCGGAAATTGATTGGTAATTTAGAGAAATTAGTGGATTTTTCCAGTGCTGCACTGGGAGATGCTATTTTCCGCATTGTCCCGGCACGACGATCCCCGCAAAAGCCTCCATGGTCTAACCCACGCCTACGTGTGCTAAAACGTCAACGCTCTGCTGCCCTCCGAAAGTATTGCAACTCTCGCTACACATACGGCTGTTCAATTTTACGAGTCGTATTTATCGAAATTACAATCGTTTTCTCTATAATCGACACGTGAGATGCACTGAAGCGAACCTTCGCACGAATCCGAAAAGTTTTTGGTCGTTTGTCAACTCCAAACGGAAGGAATCCGGGTTGCCTTGTTCCATGTTTCTCAGGAATGACTCGGCTCTGCGTTTTCTATGCAGACGATACGAAAATCTACAAAATTATTAAAAGTCTTTCGGACTGTTGGGAGTCTAAGCATAGAAAAATGTAACATTGTTTCCTATCACCGAAAAATCGAACCAATCATGTTTGACTATGTTTTCTACGGACGCTGTCTTGCTCGTGTAGAGCACATAAAGGATCTGGGCGTTACCTTGGACAGCAGACTCACTTTCAGAATCCACTACAATGACATCATCTCCAGAGCTAATCGATAATTGGGCTTTATTTTCAAAATTGCCGACAAGTTTGTGAGATATGCTCTTCGTTTCATCAACTGGCGTGACCCAACAAACTTGCAACCGTACGAGGAACGTTGCCGTCGCCTGGGAATCGAACCATTAGAGGTGAGACGGACGGTCGCTCAAGCTATGTTTGCTGGAAAGCTGCTTACGGGTGACATTGACATTCTTCGTCTAGGAGGAAATGTGGACGCGACTGCCCGACTGATGTAACGATTTTGATAACAGAGTGTTGCTATGCAAGCGATTGCCCTGATTTCTTCATGCTGGGTGGTCGGAATGATTGTACGCAGTCAGGTGAGAAATGATGTACCTACACAGCAAAAAAAAAATGTAATATCGATCAATGTAATTCAAGCTGATGTATGAAATAATGATGTAATAGCAAAAAGCAGATACAATATTACATCAATGGATGTAATTTTGTTCGCAAAATCGATGTACACCGTACAACGTAATATTACATAACCGTCGGAATGATCTCTGTGTAGCTGTTTGGATGTAATATTCAACAACTTTTTTTTTCTGTGTAGTTATTCGGACAGGCATTGGGATGTGCGCTGACAAATCGATTTAGGAGAATCCATGATGAGACTTGGTGGAGATTCTCGGTTGTGTATTGAAAATAATTCGATTATATTGTGGCAACATCAATAACAAATTTTGACACATGCACACTGCGCAGGCGCAGAAAAAGTTCAGTGTTGCCAGAGTGAGATCAGAAAAATTGTAACCATGGGTGCCAATGACTGTGCCCAGGGTGTGCCCAAGCTAGTTTTGACTTTGACAAAATCTTTTGACAGATCAGAGTAGAACTGGCAGCTTATTTTCATATGAATTTCTGCTTTATTTATGTTTACATTCAGCACCATTAACACCAGATCACTCACACACTGTAGATATCTAGCTGTCAGTTCCACAGAGAAACGTCTCTTGGATCACCTGTTTCTCCACTTTATTTTTAAGCTGCGGTCGAAGATCTGGATGAGGAAGGAGGTGGGAAGACACCTAAAGCTGCAAATAAAGGGTGTTGCGATCAACGATTATGTAGGTGTGTGCGTGAAGAATGAATATTTTGATTTTGCCATTTGCTCTTCAGTTATCAAAATGGCGTCCAAGCAAGAGGAGCAACTCATCAAAATTTTGCATGTGCACCGCAAAAATCCGAACTACGCGCAAGTTGAGTTAGCGAAATCGTTAAAAGTGGCCAAATCTACTATCACGAATTGTCCATGAAGCCCGGATTGGGGGGAAATCGAAGCTGGAAGTCGCAGTGACGACAAAAAGAGTGGCCAGCGGTTTCAAGTGGAACCACAACCTCTCCGCACCGACGAACCGATATGCCACTGGAGCATTTCATTTGTCCGCTATTCGATTTGTCAAATGAGCTGTTCAATCTATCAAACGGGTGATCAGATCTGTCAAACGAGATGAGACGCAAACCAAGTCAATATAAACTTTACGTGTGTACGTGTCCTTGCTTACGATATGACGCGATCGGATGAGTAGATGGCGGTAGTGTTTAAGGTAATTTAAATATGGTGTCTTGGGCAAGAATTTAAATGTGGCTTCTATGAGCTGTCACGTCGGTTCGTCGGTGCTCTCCGTCCGAGATGTTGCAAACATGACGAGGCTCGGTAGCTCAGTGGTTACCGTTTCTGCTTACTGAGCAGAAGGTCGGGAGTTCAATCCCAGGCCCGTCCCTTTCCTTGCAATTTTTCACTTTGCCTTATTCTCTATACCCACTAGATTTTAATGAAAACAAATTCTTCTTTAACACCGATCGCATCACTTACCACAGTGTGGGTCCTGATCTAAAAATAGAAATTGGATGAGTGCGCG